GTCTGCCCTGGAGTAGCTACTGCCGGGGGGTGCAGGGTTTAGAGTGTTCAGGAAGCGACCCCTGAACCCTCTACACCTTCCTTCCTAAACACTACACCCGAAGTGTATGGAGCTATGACGTGTTTCTCTCGGTTCCTGACTGGAGCATAGAGCGTAAATCCTCAACCCTCAATCACAGAGTCCCTACTCTGGCACATGCGAGGTTTGGGAGGTTTAGGGTGTTTGGGGCACCCTGCAACCGAATGATCGCGGGCCCCAAAATGGGAGTTCTCGGCTTTAAAGCGTCTAGCAGGGGTTAGAGTGGGCATACAGGGTCTATAGGGGAAGTTCACAAGCCTTACAGCAGCCTGTAGGGCGTGTGGTCTTCTCGGCCTGAAAGTAGTCTTGGGGTGGGTTTAGGGTTTCGGGCTGAGGTTGAGGCTTGATTTACGATTCAAGGTTTAGGCTTGGCTTTGTGGTGTTCATGGCTCCCTGTGTCAATTCGCCAGCAGTGTATCTCACCCTCCCGACACCCTCAACCCCCAACCCTAACCAACTCTCCCGAAACCTACAGGAAACCCCAAAAAGTTGGAAACCTTTTTGAGGGCAAACAGTGTTGGGATTCCCCATACTTGACTCTTAGGGATTGAGGCTGTTGAGTTTGCAACTTTCTGGCTTCTACTATAACCCCACCTCTCCCCAGGTGCGGACCATCATGCACCTGGACCAGTTTGAGGACTTCACCTTTCAGCTTTGGCCCTCGAAGCTTGCCCTGACTCTCACGTAGAAACAGGGTTTGGGGAATAGGGGCTTGGGAGTTGGGAAAGTCGGTGCGCCTTGTGCCTTGATAAGCTTGAAGCCTATAGAGTCCTTATATGGAGAAGCCATCGTTTAGGCTTGGGGTGTTGTGGTCTAGGTTTCTGGGCGTACGTTCCCCCAAAACCGCATCATCCAGGGCTTGTGGCTTGGGAGTTCTGCCGCGCAAGCGCCCGAACCCCTACGTCCCTCCTGACCTAGACAGTCCAGAAAAGCTGGGGTCTTAAGATCCCTGTTGTAGCTAGACTGTTTCCCACAGCACAAGCCCAAATGCCCTTGAAGCAGGGAAATTGTCCATTTTGGTTGGTTCTTTTAGCAAGGCTTCCAAATGATAATGTCCACAGGGGTTTCAAGACTGTGAGACTTGACACCTACACCTTAGAAGGTTCCCGCCAAACCCCAAAACCCCAAACCCCAAACCCCAAACCCCAAACCCTAAACCCTAAACCCTCAACCCTACAGACCCTAACCCAATTGGGCCCCAAAGATCCAAGGGACCGCCGTGAGACTGCCATGCGCGAGTCGCTGATTGCCTGGGCCCCGCTGGACGTGTCCAGGGCCATCGCACGGTTTGGGGGATTTAAGAGCCCTAAGCCCGAGAGGGTTCAGGGTTATGGTTCAGTGTTTTGGGTTTAGGGTTTAGGGTTTTGGGTTTTGCGGGGGGATCATATTTATAAACCTAAACCCCTAATGAAACCCTAAACCCTAAACCGAAAGCTTAGCGGTTGAGGGTTTTAGGGTTTGGGTTGTTAGGGCGTAAGGTCTATGAATTTCTCAGAAAGCCCTGTTTGATGGTTGCTTGCTTGGCTTCTCATACCTAAACCGCAAACCCTACCCTTGTGTGTTGGCACATGTGTTTTAAATCACCCCCTTTCAAGAATATCCAGTGGATGATATGAATGGAACCCTTTAGGGCTACAGCCTTTCGGGGCATGAGCTTGGATCCCTTGAAGCCCCCCAAATCACTGCGTTCAGATTGCTCCCCCGACTTCCGCATCGCAAGTGTCCCCTGCGTTTGAGCACGTGCTGCCCCTTAAACTTGAAAACCCCCAGCCCCTGCAAGTGCTAGCAATCGTTGTTTAGGTTTTCTATGTTTCAGGTTTTTTTGTCAGACTAGCTCCCCCGCAATAGCAGGTGCCTCCTTTGTCTTTCAGCTTCACCCTCAGAAGTAGGCGCGGCTTGGTTTTCCACAGAACCCTAAGCCTTAGACCCTAAATCGCCAAACCCTGAAGAACCCTGAGCCCTAAACCTTGGCCTCCGCCTGCCCTGCCGCAGGTTCGCAACTTCGACTGCGGCATGCTACACCGAGGAAAAGGCCAGGGCAGAAAGGCATTAACCAAAGCCCCCTAAAACGTAAACCTTAAGCCCTAAGCCCGAGCCCCCATTGATTCATCAGAGTTGTAGGAGGCTAACGGTTCGGTGCTTCAGGAGTGTAAGGGTTCGGGGTTGCAGAACGGTTTGAAGCCCTAAGCCCTGAACCGGGCTCTCTAAACCCTAGACTTCTCTCTAAATGCCAGACATTAAAAGAAGCCTCAACCCAAACCCAAGCCATGAGCTCCGGCTGTCGGGGCGGGGTTCGCATGGACCCGAGTTGAGGCAGACATCCGCCCCCGGCCACAGAGCACTTGCTTTGTTTTGGGGGAGCTCTGGGTACCTGGGATACCGATCCTTGGGATACTCCGGCGATGAAACAAGCGCCTCTTACACTTCGGCTTCACGGCCAGAAGCCCGTGAACCCTCAGCCTAGGTAAACGAGATGCAGTCCTCGTTTGTGGAACCAAGTACAATATCCCTGTAGTTGATAATCAGCTTTTTGAGCCCTAAAACTGATAAGAGCCTACAAGCCCAAAGTAAGCCTCAACCTTCGACTACCTCCAAGCCCAAAGAGCCCCTCCTTTCAGTCTTAGAAACCCCAAGCTCGAACACTTTAATTAAGATTTATGGGTGTGCCCTACAGCCACCTGTTCCATCCCCAACTGCAGGCGCTCGGAGGTGGGAGCCCCAGGAGTGAGGGCAAACCTGAGCTATTAAACTGGCGACAGCGCTGCTTTGCGTGCGCGTGGGCCCTCGGGCCTGTCGGTTTGGGTTTTGGGCCATAGTTCTGAGTAGGACGTTGCAGTGGCACCCTAAACCCCTGAAACAGGGAAAGCTCGGACCCGGCTTTCTCCTGATTGTTGGCCCCAGCAAGGTTTTGCGACGTGGGGCCCAGCTCACCAGGATTCCCTTGAAACGGGTTTTGGGCATTTTTGCGGGCTGAGGAAGGTTCAGGGTTTGGGGGGTAGGACTAGTAGCTTCGACGTCACAATGAGACAAAAAAACGTGAACCTTCAACCCCAATACAAACCCTAAACCCTTAAGGCCCCTAAGCCCCTAAACCTCAACATCCCTAAGCTCCCAAGTTAACACCTAAACCCCCAGGTCCCGACACCCCTTAAAGCCCACGTCGTCGGCCCTGAGAATGTCGAGCCCGTAAGGGTCGAGAGCTTCGTGGTCTTCGGGGCGCTGTTCATCATCTACGCGAGGACCACGAGCTCAAGGGGCGTTGGGGGTTCAAGGGCTTCAGAGTGTTTTTCGGGCTTTGTATAGGGCTCTATAGGGGCTTGTTGCAAGGTTGCTTAGGGCTACTAATGTTCAGCCTAAGTCATACCATCAACTCTTGACTCTAAACGTTCAGGGTTTGAGCCGGCCAAGTCCTGATTCTTCAGCCCTGTTCGAACCCCAAACGTTTTGGCCTTTGTGGATTTAAGGTCTTAGGGTTTCTTTTGGGTGGGCCGGGGGGTGGGCATAAATTGGGCTTAGAGACGCTTCGGGCACTGAGGATTCAAGCAAGGCCCGGAGGTTCAGGCTTAGGGTTTTGGTTTAATGTTTAGGGCATTTTAGGGTTTAGGGTGGGCGTTTAGGGCTTAGGGCGTTTAGAGTTTAGGGCTTATCACCCTTGTAGGGTGCAAGTGCTGTTACATATACCCCCCAAGACCAACCCTTAAGACCTCCGAGAGGACCCCAAAAGACGCGGACAAACAGAGACCCTGAACCCTACGCGACAGCCCTAAACGATCCGACCCTCAACCCGTACATTCTACCATCACCACAATCAAGAAGACCAGAAAATCCAACAAAAAAAGGCACGAAAGCAATTTTATCACAGCAATTATAGCAAAATACAACAACATCCAATTATGTCACCCATGTAACATATATCATTGTCACATACAATGACAAGCACAACATGAGCAACTACTACAAGTAGAGGTTGTGATGGTGATTGTGCAAAAGCCACACATAAACCTAGTGTACTTTATGGAAAGAATAAAGCAAGTGTGAAATGCCTGCAAGAGACCAATAGGGGCCCTCAAACCCGGAAGCCCAAGAGCACGTGCCCATCTAGTAGAGACTTATCGACTCAGACCCAAAAAGGGCTCCGTGGCAATTACTCCGGGCCCGGCCGGGGTTTCGGGTTTGGGGAGTGTACTATAGGGGCCTAAATAATTAGAACAGGGTCTTGGGGATATGCGGACCGAAGTCTGTGCGATGAAGGTGAAACAGAGTGTTTTGTACACTCACAAGAATATCATTCAAGACTCATACTTTAAAGGATGTGAAGAATGCGTTGTAAAGAAGCCTCAATAGCAACGAAAGAGTTGTGCCACTCGCGGTAGGTCGAATCAGCAAGGTCAGTAGCCCGCGGGCAAGTTCTCATGAGAGTTCGAGGCTCAATAGAGAACTGCAAGAGTTTGCAGCAAAAAACAACACTGCTCATTTGCATTCCAAGTAGGCTGTATCACGTGGGGTCTTTGCGTGTTCCCCAGCAGTTGCATGTGATGCGCGTATTCTAACGCGGCTCGAAACTTTGAGAAGCGCCCAAGGTCAGCTTTGAATCGTTTTTGGGTCCTGGCCTTCCAGGAAGAAGTGCGCGAATTTGGGTCTTGGGGAATATGATGGTATCTTTACAAAGCGACCACACGAGAATGCTATGAGTAATTATTCCGACCCCTATATTAGGGCCCTTGGCAAGGATTACCCTCATGACCTTCCATGCCATGGACACGGGGGTGCTCCCGTCGTCCAGGGATGCGAGGCGGCCCAGGTCATCTATGAGGGGGCGGGTTTCGGGTTTAGGGTTTAGGGTTTAGGGTTCAGGATCCAACTGATGGCCCCCTTTCCGTCAACTCCCCCCCCCCCCCCCCGATTCCGGTTCAGGGGCCCTCAAAACTTTGGGGGGCTTTGATGAGTTTAGGGCGTTTGGGTTTGGTGTTTGGGTTTATAAGTCCGTTTAGCGCTTGAACAATCGCCCTGCCACTATAATACATGATATGGTGCTTAGTCAGAATCAGTGTTGGGGCTACTGAGTTTAGGAGGCTTTTCGGATTTAAGCCCTAAACCCTAGCACTATTACTACCCTGCGCCAGCAAGTTCCCTTAAGCAAAAGTCAGGGGAAGGCATCGGGCTGAGTGGGTATAGTACAACATAGGGCCCCTTAGCCTCGACTCTGCAGCTCAAAAGCCCTAAGAGAGCGAAAGCTTTTATCAAAAGCCTTAGGGCCCCCAAACCCTTAACCTTTTGCCCCTGGAGCGTCTCTTTTGTTTGCCCTCCTCCGAACCCAGGTCTGTGCCATGTGGCAGTGGTACAACGGCCACTACGACACGTGGGAGCACCGTGTCAAGGGGGCCCGGCGCTGGGGAAGTTGGTGTGCTGGAGATCAGGGTTTTCGTTTCTCACTTTTCATGGTCGAGGGATTTAGATTTAAACCCTAAACCCTAAACCGTTTAGGGCCTCGGTTTACGGTCTCGGCGAGCTTCCTTGCAAGGCCAGCGCAACCAGTTGGGGCAGTAGGGGTTCGTTTGCACCCCGACCCCGCCCATTTGAGGGGTTTACAGGGCGTCTCTCTTAGGGAATATGGAGGGTCATATTGGGAGTACAAGCTCTGACCCTCTTCCTGATTGTCGTTGGCCTTGGACGCACGGGAGGCTCATGCCTCATAGCAAGACGCCTCCCTACTATTGCATCAAATCTTCTTCCGAGGTACGCGGCCGGAAGTGGAAGTGTGAAGGCCACAAGAGGCCCAGTTCCCCAGAAAAGCAGGCACATCTCCGAAGTACATGTCCGTGTATGTTTTGAGCGAGATCTACATGCCCCATGGGGGCACGATGACCGTTCTTCACTGGCTGTCCCCAAGCCTTCCCGGCGCGAGGCAATCGACAGCCGTGCTGGTGGTCTAACTATTTAGGGAGAAACTAGTGTGTTTTTTGGAAGGCGGGGTGGGGGGGGAGTTCAAGGGGCTCTGGGGCCGTTAGGGTTTTAGGCGTGGTAAGATTGGAGGTTTAGGGTTCAGGGTGTTTAGTTCTTCTTATTCGGGCGAGGGGGTAGGTTAGGGTATAAAGTTGGATTTCATTGTTTAGCTTTGGTGTTTCTTGTTTTTTTTTTTTTTTTTTTGGGGGGGGGGTTGGGGGGGGGGGGGGTGGATGGTTAGGTGGTTTCAGGCTTCTTGCTTCTGTTCGGGTTTGTGGGGTGTTAAGGGGGTGCGTCAATCCGGCCCCCCGAGGCTGTGGTGTTGGAGCTCATCGATCTCTTCTCTAGCGCTGCGCTCGGTAAAGCCCAAACTTTGGGATGCTCCCCCTTATACTAACAGCTCCTTAGTGGGGATTATGGCAGGGGGTACTGGAATCCCTATTGAGGACTGTTAGTGCAAGGGGGAACATCCCAAACCCCCCAAGTCCCAACCTTTTAGACCCTCAAGCCCACAACCCCTGAACTTCTAGAACCCTAGAACCCTACATCTGAGAGAGTTCTCGGGATGCCTCGGCCCATTAAGTAGTCCGGAGTATCCTCCGATACCCTTCGAGAGGGATACCGTCCTTGCCTGGGAGCTTCCCTTCTCGACCAGGGGATTAGGGAGAAGGGTTTAGGGTTGCCCAGGCTCACCGAACCCCCAGGCGCCAGGCCCAAAAATCAAGAGGGCTCCGGCGATGGCAGCGAGTCTGAACAGGCTGAATACTTGGTAGCGCAGTGGTACCCTTTACCTTTTTTTTGTTTATGGTTTCCCTTACAGAATAGCCAACCCAAAAAAGGGTGCCCTTATCATGATATGGTTACTGGGCTACCAAGAATAGCTTGCGGGCTGTTCCTTGCCATGCCACAGCTACCGTCAGAGCAGCATCAGCTGCACTCGCGATTCACATCATCTTTGAATCCGAAACCCTAAAGGACTAGGCTATTGGGCGGCCTTGCCATTTTAGACGGCACGGGGTCTCCCTATTGGATCAGATGGCCTTTTCACGAAGCCTGCGAAACGAATCTGCCTGCCCTAGCCTCGCCATACAGCAACAAACTCCAAGCCCTAAACCTCAAACGTGAATCCTAAAGTCTTCAAACCATACCTTGCACCCTAAACCCTGAACCCTGAACCCTAAGCCCTAAACCCTAAACCCTTCTTGTTCTTTGCACCGAAAGCTGTTTTAACGTGTCAAGGCGCCACGCTGGGCTCTCAGGGGTTTAGCCTCCCAAGCACCCTCAGCTGCAGGCATGTCAAAATTTCCTTGGGACATCCGGAGCGAGATTACCAAAATGGCCCGGAGCTCGGCTAGCCGTCTTTTCGCAGTCGCTCAAGAACGGTGCTAGGAGGGGAGGACCTTACGAAGCCCGAAGCCGTAGACCCTGCGCCCATTCCCGAAGAAACTAGGTAGGCCCTTCGGACATTTTGTATTTTCT